TACAGTATATTATATATACAGTACCTCACATTTTTGTACTTATTTGATTCCTGATATTTGATAATATATATACAGTTGCAAGAAAAAGTATGTGAACCCCTTGGGATTACGTGGAGTTTTGCATGAATTGGGCATAAAATGTGCTCTGAACGTCATCTAAGTCCCAAAAATAGAAGAACACAGTCTGCTGAACATAATACTACACAAACATTAGATGTTGCCATGGTTTAATTCCACATAACATGTAAACATTCACAGTGCAGGGAGGAAAAAGTATGTGAGGCCCTAGCTTAATGACTTCTCCCAGAGCTAATTGGAGCCAGGAGTGAGCCAACCTTGACTCCAATCAGTGTGATGATATTGGATGTGTTGCTGACAGCTGTCCTGCCCTTAAAAAACACACACCTGTTTTGGGTTTACTGGTTTAAGAAGCACTGTCTGATGTGAACCATGCCTCGCAGAAAAGAGCTCTCAGAAGACCTATGATCAAGAATTGTTGACTTGCATGAAGCTGGAAAGGGTTACAAAAGTATCTCTTTTTCTTGCAACTGTATATATACAAATAGTGTGTGTGTGTGTGTATATATCTATATATCTACTGTGTGTGTGTGTGGATAGATAGATAGACACACACACAGTATATATATATATACACAGTATATGCTATCTATCTATCTATCTATCTATCTATCTATCTATCTATCTATCTATCTATCTATCATCTATCTATCTATGTATATATACATATATATATATATGTATGTGTATATATATATATATATATATATATATATATATATATATACACACGCAGTATATATTGACTAGAGTTATACTCGTGGTGGTTTTAATATATTTCTTTGCATCTGCTGAGTATTTTACTGTTTTTTGTGCTTTAATGTGAGAGCAGCGCGGCACTATTTCATATATACATGCTTTAGGCGTGGGAACACATACGGCTCATAATGCATCTCATATGTTATATTGACACGGTAGGGCAGCACAGGAGTATTTTTTTCATTTTTTTTTTTACAATATGCAATTGTTATAACAAGATGGCGGAGGTAGGACTATGAATATAAAGCTTATTAGTACATTGTCTCTCTTGATGAATATCTATTCATCTTTTTTATATGGTACCCAATGGACATATATAGTAAAAAATATAGACCTTCACCACAATGCATGTTTTGTTTTGTTTTTTATGTATTGAGACTTGTTAATTGCAAATTTAAAATTAATGTAATGCCTTAAATGCAATGTAAGAAAAAACAAATAATAACGTCCATAAAAAGATGAGAATTGACCCTTAGAGTTTAGAGCCTAACTCCAGTATAATTTTTATTTTAAGCTCTAACCACCGCAGGGGCCGCTGATTTCTCGCAGCAAAATTTACTCACTCCGACTTCATGAGTTGTCTTTTGAGATGTATTACTGAATAAACGTGGGATGCAGGGGAGTTGTGGCAAAGGCACACCTAGAACCTTCAGGGCCCCAGTGCAAGAGACCACGAAGAACCCCCTGACCTAGTCCCGAGGCCCTTTCCATCTGTGCTGGGGCAATTGCCACTGGTCTTTGGGTCCTTGCCACTAGTATCAGGGCCCTGTCCATCAGTCCCAGGGCCTTTTCCATTGGTTCCAGGGCCCTTCTTTCTAAGCCCGGGGCCCTTCACTCTAAGCCCAGGGGCCTTCCTACTTGTCCCAGGGCCCTTTACTCTTGTTGCAGGCCCTTTTATTACAGTTCACAGCAGGACATTTTCATATATTCTACAACCATCCCCCCTGCCTGCAGGCAGTCTTGGGGGCCCCCATGGTGGCGAAACGCCAGGGCCTGGTCGCAAGTGTGACCTTTGCAACCCTGATAGCTCCACCACTGAGCTGTGGGATACTCCAGAAACACTGTGCAATAACAGGAGGACACTCTTCACTTTGTTAATACTTCTACGAATAGTCAGTCTAGTAAAAGCCAAGAGAATGGACAGCACTTTATAGGATTTGTCCCAGTCCAAGGAATTACTAGCACATGTGCACAAGGAAAGAAAAACCAGCAAACAGCCACTAGGATCCTAGACTCAGGTCTGTACTCACAATGTCCCTGGATACTTGGATGCCTCCTTCCATTATCAGCCAGGCATTCACCATTGAACACTCCAGACCAGATTCCCAGTGAAATTCCTCGATTAGGTCCAAAGGTTCACAGAAAGATAGTCCCCCACCCAGGGGCGGACTGACAACTCATGGGGCCCCCGGGCAATAGGGGATCATGGGGCCCCTGTGTCCTTGCCCAAACTCAAAAAAGCCTATGAAAAAGGTACCAGGGGCATCTCATGGGGCCCCCTACTGACCCGAGTTTCCAAATGGTCAGTCCGCCCCTGCCCCCACCAGCTCTAACCTAGCTGGGACCTCGAAAAACACACATAGAGTGTCAGCTGAACTGCTTAGAAAGGAAACAGCCCATCAGGCTGGGAACTTATCCTACTGGCTGCCCAGCCCCAGACTATTTATGCACTCCCCAACCACCTACTTGCTATCCTCCTACAGGTATTAGCTGAGACCAAATAAATATTCAGGCTGTTGGTTTGCCTTTTCCAACTCATCACATACTAGAATCCTCTAGAAGGCAGGGGGAAACAATTAAACCTACAACCAGCAAAGCCCAGAACAGCCCAAAGCAATCACAAACTGCTCCACTGATTACATAGGAGCCAAAAAGAACTAAAGGTAACCCCTTGACGCCGACGTAACACAAATATGTGGACTCACAGAACTGGGCTTTTTTCCATTGGGCCGCATATTTGCGTACATGTCTTTGTGCTGGGAGCGCGCCACGTCACTGAGAGTTCTAACAACCGGGACCAGGGACTCCCGATTCCGGGTCACATGATCGCTGTGATAACCTCTGATTGGCTATCACAGTGATCAGTAATTGTACAGCCTGGCCCCCTTGTTTTTTTCTCTCTCTATGAATGGAGGAGAGCGATACAGTGTATCACTCTAACTCCTGGCATAGAGGGAAAAAAGAATGTTTGTTAAAAAAAAAAAAAAAAGATAAATTAAATAAATAAATATAAAAAAAAAAAAAAATAAAAAAAAAATACCTAGATCAAGGTTTGATCTAGTTCAGTGCCAGGGTTAGTGTTTGGGTCAAGGTCAGGGTCAAACGTCAAGGTCAAAAGGTCAGGGTCAAATGTCAGGATTTTAAAAAAAAATTGGTATCAGTGTCAGTTAGTGTCAATGTCAGTGTGTTTTAGGTAAAAAAAATACAAAAACAATATGCGCACTATTGTTTCTGGGCTGTACTACGGATACAAACAACAAATAACATACACATATATGGTATCGCTGTGATCGTCAAGAGCTGAAGAATTTATTTTGGTCTGTTCTTTGGTGGTAGGTTATGGTAGTAACAAGAAACACACAAGTAAATAAAAAAAAAAATTTTTTTTTACTATTTTGGGCCAGTATTCCTTTAAAAATAAAAATGAGGAGATATCCATTACCATTTACCATCAAATGAAAGCCCAATTTGTCCTAAAAAAAATGCAGTATAATCCACATGGATGTACCAAGTAGTTGTGATGATATGGACGGTTTTACTAACACATGTCAACGTTGCAAAATTGTGCTTAGGCATTTAGGTTTGTTTTACCCTTAGGCGTGACGGGGTTAACTAATCATCCTAGCAAACTATCTACGAGGGTGCTAAGTAAGAGGGAATAAAGGACTACAATACTCACCTCTTAAATCAGCCTGTCCCCCACAATGCCTTTTCTTTGCCACTAGATATCCTCAGTGTTTTAGGCTGAATGACCCCCAGCATCACTCAAGCTAGAAGAGTAAAGACTGTGGTTGCAGGATGTCATGGCTCCACCCCCTGAGCATAGCACTTTGCACATATAGTGTATCCACCTGAAGAGCAAGCATTTTCTGAGACGTTTTGTTCACAAGTTTAAATGGAATTAAACTTCTAAAAAAGAAGAAAAGGAAAAAAAGAAGAAAGAAGAAGAAGAAATCCAGTCCGCTATTATATTTGACATGAAAAAGTCTTGCAGTTTCAACAATGTATCCATTTGTATCCATTTCGGATACAGATGTTTTTATTCGGATACAAATGGATACATTGTTGCAACCGCAAGACTTTTTCATGTCAAATATAATAGCGGACTGGAATTCTTCTTCTTCTTTCTTCTTTTTTTCCTTTTCTTCTTTTTCTTTTCTTTTTATTCCTTTTCTTCTTCTTTTTCTTGCAGGTCACGGCTCATGCGCAGATTGTTTTATCGGTAAAAAGATCGGCTGATTTGCCCATCATTGCCGGAAAAATCGGCTGATCGGCAAAATCGGCTGATTTTTTTTGCAACTTCACCAATAAAAAAAATGTGCCAAAACCCCGAAAAACGGCTGACCAATTAACCCATTAATGGTGCAAAAATCGGCCGATTTTTTTTTTTCGGCTGAAAAATCTGCCAATTTTCGACCCGTCTATGGTCTGCATTAGACTTTAAAAATTGTGTTTAATTTTCATGAAAGGCACTTTGTATACATGTACCCCTCTCTTTTTTCACAGCACTACGTACAATTTTCTTTTCTTTCCAGGGCACAGCTTTATATTTCTTGCACGATTCTCCCATCATTGATTTGAAATTCGTTCATTTTTCAAAAAATTTCCAACATGCCCAATCACTCAAATTCGATGGTCACAAGAAAATCGGCCATTTCTGTGGCCCACTAATGGTGCAAAATTCGAAGGAAAATTCTTAAAAAAGATTTTCGAAGGAAAATTATTTTGGAATTTGACCCGTGTCTGGCCGGCTTTAGACTTTAACCACCTCCCGCCCGCCATATAGTAATATGACGGGTGCAAGGTGGCTCTCTCGTTCTGGGAGGACGTCATATGACGTCCTCCCATTCTAACCCTTCATGGGCGGCTCCCGGAGAGCGCAGCGCAACAATCCGCAGTGCGCTGTGTCCCTCGGACACGGCGGCTCACCGATCCACGGAAAGAGCCGAAGATGACGGCTCGGTCATGTGATCAGCTGTGTCCAATCACAGCTGATCGCATGTAAACAGGGAGATGCTGGTTATCGGCATTTCTCTCCTCTCGAGCTGTCACGCTGACAGCTTGAGAGGAGAGAAGAGCCGGTAATCAGCATTCCGCGGAGGGGACTGATGATCAGTGTGCCCTGATGATCAGTGTAGCCCCAGCAGTGCCACCTGTCAGTGTCCATCAGTGCCAGCTCTCAGTGCCAGTGCCATGTGCCAGTGCCCATCAGTGCCACATCAATGCCACATACCAGTGCCTACCAGTGCACATCAATGCCACATATCAGTGCCCATCTGAGCTGCCTTTCAGTGTCACCCATCAGTGCCAGTCAGTGCCACCTATCAATGCCATCTATCAGTGCTGCCAGTCAATGCCACCTATCAATGCACATCAGTGCCGCCTATCAGTGCCCATCAGTGCCACCTATCAGTGCCAGTTAGTGCCGCCTAACAGTGACAGTCAGTGCCACCTAACAGTGCCAGTCAGTGCCGCCTATCAGTGCCAGTCAGTGCCGCCTATCAGTGCCATATATTATTATTATTATACAGTATTTATATAGCGCCAAAGGGTATGCTCAGCGCTGTACAATAGCAGGGGGGACAGAACATGAGACAAGACAGTAACAATACACGAGGGGGGTCGGTCCTGCTCTTTCGAGCTTACAATCTAGGATCAGTGCCCATCAGTGATGCCTGTCAATGCCCATCAGTGCCACCTACCAGTGCCTCCTCATCAGTGCCACCTATCTGTGCCCATCACTGCAGCCTCATTAGCGCACATCAGTGAAGATGAAAAATCACTTATTTACAAACTTTTATAACAAAAACTAAGAAAAAACTTTTTTTTTTTTCAACACTTTCAGTGGTTTTTGGTTTGTTTAAGAAAAAAATAAAAAAACCCCAAGGTGATTAAATACCACCAAAAGAAAGCGTTATCTGTCTCAAAAAAATGATAAAAATGTCATATGGGTACAGTGTTGCATGACCGCGCAATTGTCATTCAAAGTGCGACAGCGCTGAAAGCTGGAAATTGGCCTGGACAGGAGGGGGTAGAAGTGCCCTGTAGGCGAGGGGTTAAAAATTGTGTTTAATTGTCATGAAAGGCACTTTGTAGGACTGTACCCCTCTCTTTGTACTACGTATTGTATGTTTGCTTTACATATCAGTAGAAATACATGTGGTCATACCACTCTCCGAAGGCCAAACATAGAAACTCACACCGCACGTACACAGCGCAATATATTAAAGCATTAAGTTGCTCTGAAGAATCCCTGCCGTCACCGTATTATCATTTCCAGATTTTTCTTTTTCTTTTTTTGTTACTGTTTGGCTATAATATTTCCTCCCACTGGGCTAATAATTAAACCATACGTTCTGTGGAATAATGACACAATGAAATATCGTCGCAGTGATCGCTGCCCTATTAAACCATAATTCACCCAGCAGTTTAATTATCCTATCCACATATATTTTTTATTATTTGTAAATATGTAGATATCTTTTTCCGATAATTGCTTTTTTCTACATAGAAAAACAGTACAAGTGGTTGCCCAACATTTCATGTCAGAATTTGACCTACTGTGTTAAACTTCCGCTCTTTTGACTTTCTTTGGGTGCCCAAAAGGGGAAGTTCCGCTTTAAGGACTGCTCCCCCGCTGCCCATTAAGGATTGGCACCTTTGGGTGCCTGAATTTGACAGGTACCCGCTCCCACTTCTGGTCTGATCACCTAGGCGATCGGAAGTGGAAGATGTCCTCTCTCGCTCCCTCCCTGTAGTCTTTTGGGACACGTGACAGGTCCCAGAAGACTACAGGACCATTCATGAAGCGCAGCACTACTCGCGCATGCGCAGTGGGTACCCGGCTGTGAAGCCGCAAGCTATCACAGCCGGGTGCCCACACTGAAGATGCCGGCCTCCTGGAATACAGGACAGCTGGTGAAACAAGCTGTGGGGGACACACCACGGGACCAGGGGCGGACTGACAACTCATAGGGCCCCTGGGCAATAGGGGATCATGGGGCCCATGTGTCCTTGCCCAAACTCAAAAAAGCCTATGAAAAAGGTACCAGAGGCATCTCATGGGGCCCCCTACTGACCCCGAGCCCTCAGGCAGTGCCCGAGTTTCCAAATGGTCAGTCCGCCCCTGTACAGTCCGCCCCTGTATCAGACTGACCCTCAGCATGGGACAAGGAGGCTAGTGGATATTATTGGAGTAGCAATGGCCACTTCTGGGATGTCCAGCTTCCAGGGGCACTGACCAGGTATGGTATATACACTGTACATAGCTACATTGCTCCAACCTGAACAAATGTAACTATGTATAATATAGCCATATCTATCTAGAATTCTTTCCTGGATAGGGGATCATGGGGCCCCTGTGTCCTTGCCCAAACTAAAAAAAGCCTATGAAAAAGGTACCAGGGGCATCTCATGATGCCCCCTACTGACCCGGGCCCTTGGGCAGTGCCCGAGTTTTCAAATGGTCAGTCCGCCCCTGCTCCCATGCTGGCACTCCTGGCAACTCCCCCTTGCTGAGTGTCCCCCATAGCTTAGCAAGCCACTATGGGGGCACTCATGTGGACTAGAACTTGAGCCGAGCTCTTTGTGTCCATTGACACACACAGTGTGGCTAGCCCTACTCACTGGCTGATAGACAGCAACAGGAGCCTCCCACTGCTGCCTCCTTGCCCTGTGAGGAGAGAGAGAGTCGCAAGCTGTCTCGGGCACAATACTGTATAGAGATCAGGCTTAGTTAAGTATAACAGTAATTGTGGGAGGGGGAGGGGAGCTGCACACAGAAGGTTGTTACTTTAATGCACAGAATGCATTAGGGTAAAAAAACTTTCTTCCTTTGCAACCACTTTAAAAAGATCAGCTAAAAACCGAAAAAAAGGCAAACAAGTAAAACGAAGTCTTGTGCTCATTGCTTTTTGCACACATTGTGCATAGAACTGAAATATTCCTTGTTTTCAGGACAAATTGGGCTTTGGGTGATAGGTGATAACAGATAGCGTCTGATTTTTTTATTATCAAAGGAAAACTATCCCTTTCATTGGCTTTTTCATAGGCTTTTTTGGGTGTGGGCAAGGACACAGGGGCCCCATGATCCACTATTGCCCGGGGGGGGCCCCATGAGTTGTCAGTCCGCCCCTGCACGGGACCCCAGAAGAGGAGGGTCAGGGTTGCTCTGTGCAAAACCATTCCACAGAGTAGGTAAGTATAACATGTTTGTTATTTAAAAAAATGTTTACAATCATTTAAAGTGATGCAAAATCTTGTTTTTTATTTTTTTTAAATAACAAACATGTCCATACTTACCAGCTCTGTGTAATGGTTTTCCACAGAGCAGCCCAGATCCTCCTCTTCTCAGGTCCCCCCATTGGTACTCCTGGCCCCTCCCTCCTGTCAGGTGCCCCCATAGCAAACAGCTTGCTATGGTGGCACCTGAGCAGGCACACTCCTGAGCTATGGATCTGCGTGTCCATTCACACAAAGGCTCTGGGAGGTGCATAGACCTCAGGGTGAATGTTACTTGCTTAATCATTTTCATTGGTAGTCCAAAGATTATTTGGCACAGAGCCACAAAAGTAAAAAAAGTGGTGTCACCCTCCGTTTGCAGCCCTACATTGCAGTAGGAGGGTAAATAGAAACACTGGAGTATGTGTGCTATTTTAAAAAGCCTGTTGGAAGGTAAAGCATTTCCTCCAGCTGCCTCTATCGCTGTCAGGAAGGAGCTGCCCGTTAGACAACTTCAGCGGCGGAGTCTTTCAGCTCCCTCGAGATGAAAACAAATATTGAGCAATCTTTATTCATCATTTTCTTTGTTATTCCGCCGAAGCGCAACACAAAGTGCACAAGATCCAATTTCATTTGCCACAATACACATCCTTCAGAATTGTGTATGGCACTGTTTCTGTAACAAATTGAATTTGTCTTCCTCTCTCCTTCTTCTTGTTTAAGTCGTTCTCGTACACGGGGGTTTGTTAACCTCGGCTGTAATGTTGGCGCTGCCAATGTTCTCTTCAATTATACCTGCCAGGGCCCATTGCAAGCTATCTTCTCAATAATTACTCCCCTGACAGCAATATTTCATTCCGCAATTTCAACGTGCAATCAAATGCAAATCCTGCCAGCGAATCGCTTTACCTGGCCGCGGTAATTAAAATAAAGTGGTAAGCTGCGGGTTATTTTAAGAATGTTTTGCTGAGCGGTAAGTGAATTAGGTTACGAAAAGGGACTCCTACAGGTGTGTTGCAAGTCAATTAGCTGCGATGTTGGACCAGATTCCAAAAAAGATTCTGTTTTAGGACAAATAATTGGCGGGGTCGGATGGGCGCGTTTTCGGGGCACGTCTGAAGATGATGTTAAAAGCTCCTGAACACTGTTCAATGGATTTGATTTAGCTTGTGTTCTAGGACTGTCAGTGTATTTTTGAAATGTTTTGGACAGTGTGCATACCAAGGGTATGGGTGGTAATAATTTGTTAAAGAAGAATTTCAGGTCAGGGGTGGACTGACAACTCATGGGGCCCCCGGGCAATAGTTGTGGCCCATTACAAGATTTTATCCAGCCTGCAGCTAGAGTGAAGGGGGTATACTCAATGTGCACTTATAGCACAGGCTCTGATGGGTGCCCTGGTGTAAGGGGGAACTCTGATGAGGACCCTGATGTAAGGAGGGATTCTGATGGGGACCCTGATGTAAGGAGGGATTCTGGTGGGGACCTTGATAGAAATGTGGATTCTGATGGGGACCAGTAGTAAGGGGTAACTCTAACATAAGGGGGACTCTGATGGGGATGCTGATTTATGGGTAACTCTGATGAAAACGCTGATTTATGGGTAACCCTGATGGGTACCCTGGGCCAAATTTGGCCCACTACATAATTGTATCCATCCTGCAGCTAGAGTGAATGGGTATACTCAATGTGCACCGATAGCACAGGCTCTGATGGGTACCCTGATGTAAGGGGACACCCCTAATGTAAAGGGTTGCTGTAATGGAGACCCTGATATATTCAGGGATTCTGATAAGGTCCCCAATGTAAAGGTGGACTTGAATGGATTTGAATTAACTTGTGTTTTCTGGGACTGTCAGTGTATTTTTTGAAATGTTTTGGACAGTGTGCATACCAAGGGTATGGGTGGTAATAATTTGTTAAAGAAGAATTTCAGGTCAGGGGTGGACTGACAACTCATGGGGCCCCCGGGCAATAGTTGTGGCCCATTACAAGATTTTATCCAGCCTGCAGCTAGAGTGAATGGGTATACTCAATGTGCACTTATAGCACAGGCTCTGATGGGTGCCCTGGTGTAAGGGGGAACTCTGATGAGGACCCTGATGTAAGGAGGGATTCTGATGGGGAC